GAAAATTTTATCAAAGCAACTGCTTCCTTGTTAATTATATATTAATTGTCAAATATGAGTTTCCAAAGTTTTAAATTCATTGTTTCCTTATCCTCTGGTGAGCTTTTTAAGAATTAGAGCACTTCCATGCACCTATGAAAGCTAACTTTATTTTGAAACATTCAAAATGAAACCATCCAATAGAACAATTTTCATTTTCAAAACTAATCATCTTCCCATTGACAGCAAAAAACACCTCAAGTCAGATACTCAAGCACAAGATACTGGCGAAAACATCAGGATACCAATATTGCATTCATTCACATTTATATTTGTTTGTAAAATACGAATCGATGGAGGTGATTTTAGAGAAAACTTTCTACCAACCTTTCTAACAGTTTAAAAGAATGTTTTGCCAAGATTTCAGTAAAAAATTCTAAATCACACTCATTGCATTCAATACGAATGACCTTTGAAGTCTATGTAACAAAGAAGACATTCCAGTTCACTTATGAGTTGTATCTGAAGTTGATAGTAGTAAGGATGATTATTTTTAAACCCAATCAACAACCCTTTCATGTTAGAAACATAGGCTGTTTCTTTCATAATTGCTAATCGTTTGATCTTTACTTATATGTTTAGAGTCACAAAAGAGGTAAGTTTGGTAAGTATTTGCTTTTATTACTTACACATGTCCACCATATTGAAAGTTGTATGTCTACCAACATGATCAATGGAAGTGGTTTCCATCAGTTTTGTGGCATCAGTATTAGCTCTGTATAATATTTCATAAATAGAATGCATAGTGATTTAGAAAAATAACTTTTTGTACAGGTCATATAACCCCTTCGAAAGACTTCTGTTTAAGGTCATACTTTTTTAACCAATTATAAAAGCTCTAAAAATGAAAAAAATTTTTATGAACTGTACCAATCAATGTTGTTGCCTTACTTTAAAATGTTTTTTTAACTAATCATTATTTTGGGCCTTTTTTTTTATTTTAGAAAGCTTTATTGTATAATTTTAGTAGTCAAATGCACTGTTTAATTAGAATAGCTAAGCAACAAGTACACAAATTCAAAATTAGTTATAAAAACAAATATTACTAAAAACATTCATAAAAATATCGATTTTTGGTGTGTAGGTATTTTCTAGTAATAAAAGTTTTTTCTTCTTCTCTGAATATCCTTCATAATTTCAATTGTCATAAATAAAAAAGAGAAAGTCCATTATTATTGAAAAGCTTAGTTAATTTGATAAAGAATCTATTAGTCTTAACCCTTAAATTAGTGACTTGTTTACATACCATTCAAATATTGAGTTAATTGTTTACTTCTGCCTGTCACAACACTTAGTGTAAAAACTGTATGAAGAATTGGGTGAAATTAGTCAATTTACATATGTAAAATAAAATACAAGAAACCTCAGGAGTAATTAGTGGGATTAACTGCAGTGTTATTTATATTTTTGTGTGACTCGTTTGTTATTGGAAATCTTATAACCAGCAACATCATGGAAAAATAATTCAGAAAAATATGTTAAAAGTCTGAAGGGCTAATTGGTTATACTAAGGTTAAGCAAGATCAAGATAAGTTCACTTAAGGTTATCTACTTGAGATGAAAAACGACTTCTTGGATATTATAAATGGTAGAGTGAATAAACAAAAAGAAGTACAGATAGATGCCTTCACTGACAAGGACAGACTTGTTTTGAGATTTAAAAATATTTCTATAAAACTGTCAATTAGATCCCATCATTTTTTAATATTCTGATAGTTGTTAGAAGAGGAGGGGGATTCGTTAACTCTGGTGGTCATTGTTTGTAAAATAACCCAAGAAAATAAGTTTTATACTTCAAATGGGAAATGGTTTTGTAGCACGGTACTAAGGTTAGGATGGTTTCGTAGCACGGTACTAAGGTTAGGGTGGTTTCTCAGCACAGTACTAAGGTTAGGATGGTTTCTTAGCACAGTACTAAGGTTAGGATGATTTCTTAGCACGGTACTAAGGTTAGGACACAATGTACATCATGGTTTTAGATAATTTTTTTAACTCTTTGTTACTGCTGAAGTCTCAGTAAATTCCATTGCTAATTCCTCCATTTAATAAAGTTTAGTAATTGAATTACTTTCTTATTTTTAACTTAAATTTAGTGATTTTTTTCAAAATGCCATGACTCACAAACATTTGGACAGAATTTTGGTGTATTAACTGGAATTACTTTAAAAGTTTGAACTTCCCTTAAGCAGCATTTGTTTGTAATAAGTGTAGCTAATTCATAGATTCCAGTATTTGTAGTCTAGTAAGAATATGACTGTAACAATTGCATCCAGTGTCAAGATAGTCCAGCACGGTAAGTTTCTGGATGGGTAAATCTAAGTGTTAGAAAGCCATTTTAATAACTGTGTTTCTACATGCAAACTTTTTATTTTTTTGGAAGATTAATTTAGTGGAGTGGACAGTATCAATAAACCAACAAGTCCCTTGTCCTTAGTGCTTATAACTTAATTTTCCTTAATCTTTTGCTTACCATATGTTTTAACTATAATTCCCAAACTATGGACAGCTAACCTGTGTGGGGTCACAACATCAGCTGATGGGGTTGCAAGAGATGATCATAATCAGGAATACTTTATTTCTGGATTGAAAATCACCCTGTGAATGTGTTTTTTGCTATTTTATATTTGGTGCTGTGTGGGGTCATATAAATGTTTGTCTTAAAATGGGTTCACACAGAAAAAAAAACACTTTGGGAAGCATTAGGGGCATAATTAGTATGCCCACTATTTCTATTATAAGGTGTGCCAAATGGCATAGTCTGACAAGGGTTTTCACGTTGAATCTAATGTTATATGTCTTGTAGGCTCATTTTATCAATGAAAATATACATTAATCAATTAAGTACAGAATTTTTGATATTATGTCAATTTTCCCTGGTTCTTGAGAATACAAAGTGCCTGGTTGCAATAATGCCATTATTAGATCATCCATGAAAAAACATGTACTTTCGTTTTAGCAGTTAAAATATTACAGGTTGTGTCATTGGTAAAGTGATAGCAAAGGCTTATGGCAAACTGAAAAAACATCCCACTTGATTGAGTCTTATACTTTTAATATTTATGCTATGTGCTAACTTAAAAGAAAAATTAACATTACATTTTACATTAGAAAAGTGATGAATTTATCTAAGTACTTACAGTAAGGTTGTGTTGATCGTATATCAGTCATTGTCAAAGTTGATAAACTGTCTGATCACCTAAGTCTAATAATTAATTAGTAAATTATTATTACATCTTAAAATAACTAGATGCTAATTATTAACCAGTTTTATCCTACAGTTTGAATGCTAATCTGATACCATCTTCAGGGATGTCCTGAGAAGAACTATTTGTGTGTTGGTTTTGGTAAGAATTCAACCCTGGGGCCTTCTTGATGGAAGTTTCATTCATCATCTGGCCAATTGGAATCTTCCACATTAGAAGTTGAACAAACTATATAAACATTTTCAAGAGAGGTATCCAGGTTTTGCTGACTTCTATACTAGGTTGACTGAGTGTGTTATCAGTTAAGTGGATGTAGAAGGCTTCTTTTAGATGCCCTTTCTCATGTGTGATTTATATCCTATTATTTTAGTATTATTCTAATTCCATTGTACGTTCTCTGATATGGCAGACAATTGCAGAAATTGGTATTACAGTCTTGTATATCTGTTACACTCCTGAATTCTAACTAGTTTTAGTCTTGTTTCTACAATGTATTGGAATCCACATTCAAAGAAGTTGCTGTAAATGGTGCTTGCTCTCTCCATTTGGTCTTTAAGAGGTTTGGAGTATGTACTAGTTGTGATTGTTCCTAACTACTGTTCTGACTTCATACTGTATACATATTCTCTGTTTTCAATGAGACGTCTCACCTTTGACTGTAGTTTTCTTCATAATGTTTGGTATTTCTCTTCTTTTTATTTTTTCTTTCTCAGATGCAAACAGCAAAGCATGCTTTAGTATTTAGAATATAATCTGGTCTTGTGAGTTGTATTCTACATTCTTCTGTAGTGACTTCAGACTTTAAAAGGGCAAATACCATTCAAAGTATACCTGAATTTTGTTGACAGTCATGTTCACCAACATAATGCACTTACAAGACAAGCTCTGACAGACAGAGGGCTCTTCCAGAAAATAATGAAACAATTATCGAAAGCCATATTGTCTTAAACTGGTTCATGGAGCATGGCAATTACTTTAGTCATTGACAAATGGGCTACAATCAAACAAGATAACTTCCAGTATATTATGGAGTCTATGCTATGCTAAATACATGCTGTTATTAATAGATAAAACTGTCTGTATACAAACCTGAAAAAAACGTTTATTCATATACATCTCCCCTACTTTATAAGCAGTATATTTAGTAACATATAAAACTTAATTCTCCCTTTAAGGAGAGTACATTAGTGACCATTTTTATAAGTTTTATCAACCAAACTTAAAGAAAAGAAAGCTGAAATAGGAAGTTAGTTAACATCCACAAATTAATTTACGAACTTCACATATTTTATTTAAAAAAGAGAAATGTATGGTATCCATGGCCTCAGTTAACTTTTTTGTGTGTGTAAATGTTTGAATGCAAAGTTGGGTGTGTATATGTAGGCCAATTCAAAAACATGTTTAACTACTAATTGTAATAAATATTCCATATGTAGTAAAACTTGCATAATCTGAAGGATTATTAATATTTACAACTTTTGTGGAACTAAAATGTGTTAGGCTGTTCTACATATCAAAGAGTGTATACTACTGAAGCTTTAGTAATGAACTAGAAAAAGTAAAAATTAAACACTATAATGTCACATGTATAAAATGCATGTCGGAGAAACTAACTTTTGATTAACGGATAGTAGCATCCAGTATTATAAATAAGAACTATATTAATAAATAAGATACTTACAGCATATGTGAGATAATATTCAGAGTTTAAATTTTTTTTAATTAAAAAGTCATATTTTCAAGTAAACACTTATTTTATTTTTGGTTTCATTTGTGCATATTTATTATTACAATTTTATACATCATACACTACCTAATATATAATATATTTCTTCAACTTCAATACACATATTTTGAAATTACACATATGGAAGAGAATGAACTGCTCCTTGTACTAATGGATAACTTGAAATATTTCATACTTCTCACCATTTGCACTTTAAACTAATACAGCTATAAAAGCACATTTATGTCAGGATCAACATTTACTTAAAGTATGTCCCTGAGAAAGAAGTATTGAACTTCAGGTTCTTAATATTCTAGTACCAATATCTTCATGTGCGTATCATTGGTGAGAGTAAATGTGCTATGAGTACAGTTTGATTTCTTTCCAGGATTCAGAATTTTCAAAATACTATAGTTAAAGAAGTTTTAATTTGAGTTTTGTTATAACATAAAGATACATGTAGATGTTTATTAATAATAAATATATACTGTACTATGTGTACAAACCTGTAAAATTATAAAAAGATATTAAATCTTATTTTGATATAACACTTAAATCACTGGAGGTGAATTTCATTTGAATGCAAGTTTAATTTAGGTGATACTAGAGGTAACCTAATTTCAACCTTACTTCACCAATATTAACTTTAAGATATAATTAAAATAAATAAAACATAATTCTAAAGACATTAAAAGTTGAAATGTTTCACTTTATCTGACTTGTATGCAACAAACATGTAGTGTACTTACAAAATAAGTATCTTTTTAATATGCATCAATATCAGAAAAATTGTAAATTTAACTAAAACTATGTACTTTACATTATTTGATACAGTGAAAATAATTAAAGGTATCTTTTGTTTCATATATATATATATAATATTCAGTGTTGGATATCAGCAACTTATGAAGTATGATAATGATAAATTACATCAATTGTTTTTTTTTGTCAAGTAAGCAAAATACATACTAGAATGATACAACTGACAAATATGAATCAGCTACCAATAATTATTCAACATTAAATTATTTCAAAACCTATGTATACAAATGATTTAAATCCCATTTGTAGAAAGCATCACTAATGCTTTAAGTCAAAAATTTCAATTAATAATGGCTCCACATCTTTGGGGTTCACATCTAGGAATATTTGAACATGATTTTCATTTAGAAGATGTAGTTCCTGAAGTTTAGAAATCAGCTTAAGGTAGCAAGAACGAGCTTCACACCCTGTGTAGATTGTATCAAGATATCGCTTTAAAAGGTAATAGTAGTTTTTCTGCTCTAGCGATATCACATTTTTGTGAACAATATTTGGTCGTTCAGGAGTAAACAGAGTGATGGCACTTAAAAGCAACATGATGTTTTCATCTGATCGCCACGCAAGATCAAAAGAGTTGATAAATCTCTTGTGTTCCTCATATATGTTGCCTTTTGCTTCTTTTAAAATGTCCACTTTGATGGACATAGCTTGAGGGCCTTGCCAACAATCTTTCTCAGGATCATAAGTCATTACAGAACGAAGCAGCATTAACTCTGTACAACTTCCTTTCAGCAGGGCAATTTGATCTTCTTGGCATAAAGACTTGAATCCATGAATACGTTTTGACATTATAATGAGCCTGCGAATTGCATGGTCTGTCATGTTGATAACATCTAGAAGGCTTGGATCTGGAACTTCACAGGATAAAGGCATTTTAAGAACTTCATTTGCTGTGATGAGTTCAGTCAATTTAGCTTGTTCTGCTTCTGTTAGAATTTTTTCTTTACAATCTTTACTTCGAAGTGGAATGTCAGCAAACTCAACTTTAATGGCCAAGTCCATAACTGATTGTGGGATGATACAGTCATCTTTTTTACTATGATGATTGAAGCATGACTGATCCAAATGAGAAGAAATATGATTATCAAATCTTTCAGAGAGGAAAGAAACAAAGGAACCATTTAACCTAGGAGAAAGTCTGTTAGATTGGACATCACACAAGACAGTGGAGCTTGTCACTTGTGATTCACCTGTTCCATCAGATGATAGCGATGTTGACCATTTGGATGATGAAGGTGATAAATCAGAATTAACTAACAATGATAAGGTTGACTGCTGTTTGGAATTCTTCATCACTGAATCTGGAGGTACAACCGAACTCACAGAATATGCTAAGATTTTCTTCTCCTTAACACTACTAAATGCATTACAGCTTTCATTAGGAATTAAAGTAACAGTTTGGTTAAAATCTGAATCAGATAAAATAGCTGAACTATGTTCACTTGTCAAAGACATCAGTTCACTGCTATCACTGATGGACTCTGCCTGTAATTCTACTGATTCATCAAAAAGTAAAGTTGTTGGAGAGTTTGGTTGTGAGTTTGAAGGGAGTTTGTCTGTGTCTACAAACAGTCCAACCACCTGATCAGTATCACTGCCAACATCCACTCCTACTTCACTTGGGCTGAGTGAAAAGGTATGTTTTACACTACTACTGATAGATAATTTTTCTCTTTTAGATGGGTAAGGAGCATATCGTTTTCTTCTGTTTTCTTCAATTTTTGTTTTTTTCATACGCTTTTCTTCATCTGTCAAAATCCATTCTTTCTTCATTCCTATCTCAAAACATTTTTTCAATCGACATTTCTGACAAAACCTTCTTGTAATAATGTCCACTTTACAGTCATTGTTAAATGGACATTTAAAATCCTAAAAAAAAAAGAGAGAGAGAAATAATATTGTAAGAGACATTTAAAACTAACTGATACCTTTAATTTATATGAAATAAAATAACAGCTAAAGTTTTTGCACACTGATCACAAATGAAGACATCATCAAGAGAGAAAGAGTTACGGATGTCAACTCTATTAATCACGGATGTACAACCCATACACAAAAAAAAATAAACTAATTAATACTTTTATTTTCATCTGACTTAAATAAATTTACATGGTGACTAAACATCATAAAAGAATGCAAGGGTTTTACACTAAATGAAACTGATACAGAGAAACACCAAGCGAATAAAAGTTTACTAAATACCTAAATTCATAAATGTATACTTACTGAATTTGGAATTATACATCGTTATCTATAGCTTCATAGAAACTTGGTTCATGCAGTTCACATAGGATTAAATATATGAAATTTATTTAAGAAAAATAATCCTTATGAGGAACTAGCTGAAAAACACCAATTTAAAATATATGCACAGTGCAAAAAATTCTTTGTTCTCAAGAAAAAAAAAAAGAATATGTCTAAACAGTGCAATACCAAAGAAATGAATGAGCTTTTTGTTTATATGAACTGCTAAAGGGAAGTACCACACAACGAGATTGTGTCACATTTATACTGGCGGCCTAATGTTTCTTGCAATATTGAACGTACTGCATTAACTGCAGTACACTATATTATGTGTAGGCTCTTTCATTAGCTTGGTGCATAAGCAAAACCTTTTCTGCAGTAAAGCCAAAGTGCTAGCCAATCATTCTAAGGAGAGGTGAGTACCATAGTCAGAATTTAAACATGCAATACACACACAAATGTAATCATGATAATATGTTCAAATTACACTTAAGTAAAGTTCAAGTGACTAGAGCAAATATAGTGTGGTTGACATATTGTTATACTTCTTTACTTTCACTCTTAACCCCTTGGAATTATTCACAAAACAATTATATCAGTCAACAAAGAATATCTAATATACTTTTCATGTATATGTATTACTTTATCATATTGACTACCATATTTTTGGAAGAATCTTAAAATTTTATGACAACTTATGTCTGAACAAATGTAATATAGTTTTTTCTTTTAAATAAAACAGTTTACGATATTTTCATTCAACCTTACATTAATAAATTAATTTAAATGGTGTTTTGAACAATGATTTAGTTGCTAATATGCATAACTGGCAATGTCTCATAGTTTGTCTTTATGGTAAAAATAATGCACTTTAAGTATTTAGTATACTTAATTTTTTAGTATTTCTAATGGGTGTTCTAAAGAAATGCCTGGCATGATCAGGTGGTTAGGGTGCCTGACTTGCAATCTGAGGGTCACGGGTTCGAATCCCCATCCTACCGAACATGCTTGCCCCCCTTTCAGCCGTGGAAAGTTATAAAGTGATGGTCAATCCCACTATTCTTTGGTAAAAAAGTAGCCCAAGATTTGGCAGTGGGTGGTGATGATTAGCTTCCTTCCCTCTGGTCTTTCACTGCTAAATTAGGGATGACTAGCTCAGATAGCCCTCGTACAGTTTTACCCAGTGGGACAGCAGTAAGTCTGCGGATTTACAATGCTAAAATCATGGGTTTGATTCCATTCAGTGAATACAGCAGATAGCCCTATGTGGCTTTGCTATAAGAAAACACACACACACACCATTGTATAGTTTTGTGCAAAATTCAAACCAAACCAAATCTAAAGAAATTTTAATATTTCACATTTTTATTTTAAGAAAAAAGAAGTAAATTCTGCATTATAATATTTAAAATTTAATTTTATTTTGAACCTAAATTTATTAATAATTTATGTTACACTATCAAATTAAAACAAGTATAAGTTGAGTGATGGACACGGCTTACAGAAAATTATACGCAAGTTATTTTATTCAAGAACTTTTTAAATATTACGTCATCAAGAAATAAATGTCCTGTTTTGGAATACTTTCCTTAACCCCCCACCCCTAAACGCACATCACGTATAATAATTAAATGAACCACCAAAACATCATGTTAGTGTAGCCTTTATAATGTGTAAAATTTAGCATACTCTAATCCCTTATAGTGATGCCATATAAGGAGACACACATTTGGCATGTAATGCTGTTTGAATAAAAGAAGGGAAACAATGCCTCTATAGCCATAAAGAAGATTAAAGAAGTTCATGGAAATGTTTTGAATGTTCGCAAGTTTCAACGATGGTTCAGCAAATTTCGTTCAGGTGACTTTAGCCTAAAAAACTGTGATGGCAGGGGCCGACATGTTGGAATTGATACTCTGAAGATGCTTGTTGAGTCTAACCCAATACAATATACTCGTGAAATGGCCATTAAACTGCATGTCTCTCATAAAACAATATGCAAACATCTAAGGAATATGGGAAAACTCTGTACAGAAGGTGTTTGGGTGCATCACGAACTCTCCAATGATCATCATTTCCAATGTGTGAATGTTGCTTAGTCTCTTCTGGCTCGTAATGCGTGTGAACCATTTTTGGACAGAATTGTCACCATTGATGAAAAATGGATTCTCTATGCGAATATTAAATGTCAAAAACAATGGCTCAGTCCTAGACAAAAACCACTTACAACCTCAAAACCTGGACTCCAACTGCAGAAAGTGATGCTTTGCATTTGGTGGGACATCAAAGGAGTAATTCATTTTGAACTCCTCAATCCACAACGAACTGTCAATGTACAGATCTAGAGTCAGCAATTGGAATGTTTAAATCAAGCCCTTCAAGGTGTTCTTCTTCTCCACGACAATGCACGTTAACTTGTGGCATGCATGCAACACAAAAGTATGGAGTTGGGTTGGAAAGTTCTTTCCTATCTACTATATTCTCCAGATGTGGCACCATCAGATTACCATCTTTTTCATTCACTGCAATACCATCTTAATGGGAAAACGTATGTAAATGTGGAAGGTGTTAAAGAGGACATCAACATGTTTTTTGTTTCAAAGCCAAGCAATTTCTTTAATCAGGGCATTAACAACCTGATTGTAAGATGGAAAAGCATCATCAATAAGAATGGAGACTATTTCATTTAATAAATGTTTTGTTTTGATATACAAATTGTTCGGGTTTTTTCATCTAAAAAAACCAATGTTAATTTCTTGACGTCCTAATACCTCTAAAATACTAATATTAGTAGAAAAAAAAATTTTTCAAGACTTTTTATTCCTACGAAGTATTAATTATGGCGCAAATAACATATTTTATCATTAGTTTGAAAACAAGCCAAAATTAGGTATTCTGTTGCTTTTTAAACATGTAAGTTTATATATATAAGCATACTTAACATATCTATATATTATTTAGTTATACTAATGTTGCAATATTTTAAGGTAATAGAAAATTTCCTATATCAATATTTGATTTCTTATAAAATACACAATTTTCAAGTTAATTTCATCAAGTGTGTAGTTTTAAACATATAAATAACTTACTTTGGTTTTTACAGCATTCCTACGGAAGAATGCTTTGCATGATTCACATGTAATAGCATTGAAATTGTAGCCCAAAGCCTTATCTCCACAGACACCACAGATTTTGTCATCTCCAGCTTTAACATCTTCTGTCATTGTGGCTGTCATTCAATTTAAGTTTCTCATATTAACTACCTATAAAAATACCAGTCATTAAATCACTTTATGTTAGTAATTATCTACAGTTATCTTCTACATTAACATATCTCTGTATATATATTAGTCATATTTTACCTAATCTTCTGTGTATGCATATTTCTGTGTACATTTTTTATACTTATTAAAAGTTTAGTTCCAAATCTCATACTAACCAGTTGACACTAACAACCTATTGTATATTTAACAATATAGCTATTAATAATGTGATACATTTCTGACTCAGCAAGTTGATCATGGTTACATTTTATTAAGTGTTTTCTCCTCCTTTGTACATTATTGTAATGAGCTAAGTGGTAAGTTATCTTTAGTGGGATTTTAAAGCCCTGATATATGTAGCTTAGTTAGTAGAACATTACTTTAAGACACTTGTGAAGTTACAATGTAATGGTCCTGGGTTAAAGTCCCAAATAAGTGAAAAGTAATCTGTCACTCTAAGAGGAAATCTGGCCAACTGCAGAAAAACCATGACTGGCCTTACTATGGCCAGTAGAGAGAAAGAGGAAGGAGGAAATATAACAATTTATAAGAAATATTACAAATGCTTACTTGTATATTTATCCTATTATATTAGGACACATTGTCTTATATTTGTACTGAATAGATATGCATGCATCTATATAAATACTAGCCTACATGCATGTATAAAACTCACGTAGTTACTGAATCCAGTCTGTGTACCATTTCAGTATAGTTCAGTAGTCCCTTCAATTCAGTGTTTACAGACTCCCCATATAACTACAGGGTATAAATATAGTAGCTATATATATTTTAGAAGCATATACATAACATGTGGTATGTTGATCGTCATACATCATAGTGATCATACATACAATACCACTATCAATGATAGTAATAATATCAGGGAGCAATAGCCATCCAATCTGTATGAAGCCAATCCAAAGGTTGTCATTGTTTCCAGACAGAGCATCATACACCAACTACGTGTTTCATTGAACTAAACTGTTTCAAATAGAACAGTATTGCTTTTATACAGACTTGTGTCCATGGTAGACATGAAATAAAACTAAAGAATCAAGATTATTAAAAATTGTTAATTTAAAAAAGTAAACAAACAAGCTCAAGTGTTGACATTATTTCTTCAAGCTATTTTGACTCTCCTGAATATTAAAGCTTTTACACATGGAGTCAAAATAGGGACTTGTAGCTTGAGGAACTAGCATCAACACTATGTTTCAAACCTTAAGCTTGTTTGTTTACTTCTTTAGTGATTGCACTTTCACTTTAAGCTACTTATCTTGTTTCTATACTTTTTTTAATATCCCTTTTTAAATTGACAATTTTTAATAATCTTGTATATATAGATTTGAACATAAAAACAGTTTTACTGAATAACATGTTGATGTATTCTGATTATTCCAAATGGTATTGAGAAATCTGCTCATTACCAAACAGTAAATGGCACACACTGAGATCTGGACTGCAGGAAACCGGGTTTCGATACCCGTGGTGGGCAAAGTACAGATAGCCCTTTGTGTAGCTTTGTGCTTAATAACAAACAACAATGAGATCTGGGAGAAGAAACTCATTATAAGGGTATAGAGGGATGGTAGATATTTAAAATTTTTGTGCAAAGCTACATAAGAGCTATCTACACATAACCACCCATAGTTTTGAAAAGATAGAGGGAAGGCAATTAGCTAGTCAACAGCATCCACTGCCAACTGCTGGGCTACTCTTTATCTGACAAAATAGTGGGATTTGATTTTTACTCTTATAGTGAGTGTACTTATGACCACAAAGTGTGTAATATGTTTGTTGGTCATAGAACATAATCTATTAACCCTTTGATTCACAGTGTGATCAAGCTAATCATTAGGCCTTGCCTGGCTCACTCTAACAACCACAAAGTGTTATTGATTGAAAAAATTTATTCATAATTTGACAAAATCATACATTAAGTTATTTTATTAGAAGTGTAATCATACACTACCAATGTTAATAGTTAAAGGTTACAGCAACTCAGATAGTAAAATAATGACAATTAAATCAACTGTTGCTAAAACGTCTCTTCACTAACCCACTGAAAATGTTAATCAAATGGACATAAAGAAGTTAGAAAGACATAACAGCTCTTAACTGCCATTTAATAAACTTTAATTACTTAAAAACATCTATGTAGTTAAAAAGGTCATATTCATTTCTATTAATATACTAGACAGAAATACTTAGGCAATTTCTAGCTTCACCAAACACAACTATACAGTTCACAGGCTTATTGCAATAAAATTTTAGTCAGCTTGTATTGAAAATTTAATTCCAGTTAGAACGGAAACATGTATACAATACTGTTTTATTTTGAAACTAAAATACTTTATCAACTTCAGTAGTAAGTTCCAATGCCTTAAAAAAGTTGGGTATGTTGTAATTTGTACTTATGTATGTAGTAGTCTCTATTTAAAAAGCTGTTTGTTATACACTTTTCAGTTGATGCAGACAAATTCTATTTTTATAAATTATCTTGTTATGATAATTATTTTACCTTTGACTTTTACCTTTAATTATTTTTTCCTTTGATATATACTTAACATAATTTTCATAAGTTGGTTCGACTTACATATGCTATAAATATTTAAACTGTCAGTGCTTTGGTCTCAAATGACAGATTACAATACAAGGTTCAATTTCTATATAAAAAAAAACAACAACTGAAACTAGCTCCTTTGACACAGGGGTGAAATAAATGATGTTACACAAGTTTCATTCTTAGCCAATCTTCAAATTTTCATACGAAGAGTCAGGTAAATATCATGTAATACAACTTATTATTTACACTTACAGAACCCCAACTAATCATACAGACCAAAATAGCACAACATACAGCATAAATGACCAAAATATCCGTGGTACAAGTTCTCTCTGTATTCAATGTTCTTGCATTTGTAAATGATACATATAAATTTGGTAAATATTTTTTTAAATAATATTTAGAATGTAATAAAGCACAAACAAACTAAGCATGAGTGCATGTGGCTAATACAACATACTTATTCAAGTGCAAAAATTGTAAGAATATATGAAGACAATCTAATGTTAAACTTAAGATATAAATATTAGTTTAAAATTCACTGCACCATGGACTATGAAACTTGTTTGTTATTAATATTGAAACTTTTTATAATGGTTGTGCACTCCTATCTAGAATTAAAAGTAATGTTTTTTTTCTTAATTTCCCAAAACTGTCCAATATCACTTTTTTACCTCATTATCCCAATTCGCTAATGATAAATCTTGTCTCATGACTTCAAAGTTAAATTTCATTTCTTATATTTCGGCTTGTTGCAAAACATTAAACCTAATTATGCAATGACCATTCTACCCCAAGTGTTCCCACACTAAACCCGTGCAATCACATCAGAGGTGTGGGAGGCAAATTAAAAGTGGGGTGTGGGGGGTAAGGTTTATTTGACAGGCTCACCCCCATTATGGCTGGGGTCCAGGGCTCGCCTTAGGGCTTTGGAAGCTTTTTAAGTTCTAGATTAAATTTTATGCATTCTCCTGCTTTACCTGGGAGTAATTTTTTAAAATTTTGATACATTTTTACTAGAACAAATTAAAGAGTTGAGGGACCCATGCCTTGGTGACATCCTCATTAGCTGTTATCAATAAATCTAAAATTCATTCTTCCGAGTTACTCTCTGACCAGTTGGTATACAAAACCATCCTGATGCAATTAAAGAAACCTTGCGAGTTAAAAATTGAAAAAAAAAGAATTATGGTATATCAATTTATTTTTCTCAAATATCAAAAACATATCACATGCTTATCTCTAAATCACTAAATTTTTTACATGACAATATCTTTGTGATTCAATCAATTATTAAATTCTGGTAATTCATAATTTATAACCCACGCTTATAACTGAAATTAATTTTCTGTACTTAATTGAAATACACTGTTTCATAATTTTAATTATGATATAAAACTATCAAGAAATAAACAGCAAGGCTCACACATCTGACTTACCAATTTGTTCGGTAAAATGGCACTCTCTCTCTCATAGTATTGACAGAGTACATGTACAATAATATTAAATATCTTAATGTTTAATAAACCCATAAATAGAGACTGTTACTTAACATGTTGATATATCACATCCAGTTATAAATATAAATCCCCTGTTACAATTATTACAAGTTTTGCACTGTGTTCTGCTTGAACATATATAAAGTAATAAATTTACAATGATGATTATGTGTAGTTGACATGATTAGTCACCTATGTCTAATTATTAGTTTCCTTTTTTTAATTTTTTTTTTTTTATTAAAACACAAATTACTGATTAGTTTATATCCTACACTTAGGCTACTAATTTGCTGCTATCTTCAGTGAAGTCCCAAGAGAAGCACTGAATGTAGTGGCAGGTTCTGGGAATATATCCAGAGTCTTCTTGTTAAAAAGCACTATGCTATCCATTCATCTGGGCTCTCATGAGAGGATAAAAAAGCTGCTGTGTTAACAAGAAGACTCAAGATTAAATCTGATTCCTATTACCATATACAATCCTTCTCAAGACTTTCCTAAATAGATCAGCAGCAGAAACAGGATATACTAATTATCATCTAATAAAAAACAAACAAAAACAGCAATTAGACTTAATTGTCAGTAATCATGACAATCACTGATCTCTAATCATTACTCTTACATAGGGTACATGAGTAAATGTCATTTATTTACATTGCACTGTACAATATGATATAGTGACCAAATTTGTACAACAATAAACTCAATGATTTATTTGATAGACTGTGAGGTATACAGCACATACATGTCTAAATGTTACATGTACAATTTCTTAAACTTGAGACATTTATATGTACATCCTTTTTATCTACATTTTAAAAGTATAATTGTCAATTATATATTCTACTTTCACTGCTGACACTTTTCTCTCTTAGTAACATCTGTCAACCACTTCTGTATGCAGTAACAGTTTATAAAGCAAATGATGTACATTATTTCTCTTTCATTTATCACACATATATGTAACTTTTCTTATTACTACCCCTTCCAAATGAAACTGCCTTACACTATATTGTTTGCAGATAGTTTAATGTTATTAGAGGTGTAAATGTGGTTAGTCTCAATTATGATAGTTTGCTTTGCAGCTTCATTTACTGTTTTACAGACCTGTGTTAACTGATACTACTAGTACGATTTTGTCAGGAGTGTGTGTGTTTACAAACTTTAATAGTTTTAATATCCTAACTTTATCATTACTTACAATCTTTCAAATTAGCCCATTTCTAAAATTTACACATAAGAATGTCAATGAAAGTACTTAATATTCATAATTTAGTAAATTCACATTCATCTAGAGCAACAACAAAATTAATTGAAATTGCTATAATTTGCATTGTCATAATTGTGTTAATATTATATTATTTGTCAAGTCCTTATTACTAATACTAATGTGAACAATATTAGCATTAAATATACTATCCAAGCTACACAGTAAAATACTTTAAATTTTCATTATATGAATCCTAAAAAACAAAAATTAAATATTTTATTATAATTTATATAAATGTTAATACAAAGTATATTTGATATTTGATTTCGTAAGTTCTGCAAATAATTTTACTACTAACTTAAACTAAATTTAAACTACTTGTACTAACTACAATATTATTACTATTTTAGTAATTTAGTATTTGTAATTATGAATACGAATGGTTAACGTTTCCGGTAGACTTCGTTTTTTAAACATCCACTGTTTAAAATTGAGGGAGTAAGCCTAAATTTACGTACAGGAGATTACTTTTTAACTAAATTAACGTGTCCAAATATTCCCACACCAAACAACTTCACAAGTTTAAAACTGGAGCAGAAAATCCCTCTACACTAGTCTAGCTTATGTTGATCTCGCGGTCTATTAAACTTTAAAGTATTATGTGCATTTCAAATAAATTCAGTATTGGATAATGCTTTTCTGCAAATGATCCGCTTATTATTGTACTTACCTATATTTTCTTAACTGAAATCAACTGGTCTTGACACACACACACACACATACATATATATATATATATATATATATATATATA